AAAGACCAATATTTGTTACCTGATGCTCTCTAGGCGAGTATTCCTGCGGTTGCTGTGGATTAAGGCGTTGCGTAGGATACTGTCTCCATGGTTTAAGTATGTCCTCATTTTTAGCAAAAGGGTTTGCTGACTTGTCCTTCAGGAATATGAAATTGCACTTAGTTCCATCTCGGAGACGGCGAAGGTCTGCAGAATACCTTCTTTGCCATCTGGAAGTTCGACTCCAACAAGGCTCTTTGCTTCCAAGCTATCGCTATAATGGCGCCTTTTCGGTGGCAGCCAGTTGAACCTCTAATGTCCACCGGAATTTTGTTTCTGACCTCCAGGCGCCAGACCAACCCGTTCTGAATTACATCATTCGGCGGCCGCCTCGAGCACGTTGCTCTGGAAGAGCTGCCAGTTGGTTTCCACACCAGTGGTCATACCGGAATCTGTTCAAACCGTCGTGCGATGTTATTTGCAAATTTCGCTCTCGTGTCCACCAAAGATAATGTTTCCCATTTTATCCTCCGGTTGCTTCTGCCACCAGATCTTCGTTTGGTACTCCATTTCTTACATAGCACGCCAATAACAAGGTGATGATCCGATGATAGCTCTGCGCCTCTGTTAACGCGGACATCGATACAGACCGTCTGATCTGAGACGATACGATTATCAAATTGATGATCGACTTCTGTGCACAAGCTTCCCGGTACCAGGTCTACTGATGCACTTTTCGATGCTCGAAGAAGGTGTTCATAATGGACAATCAGTTGTTTGCACAAAACCGCAACAACTTCATGCCCTTATTGTTGAGGGCGCTAGGGCCGTTCTTTTCAGTTACGCCTTTAGTGCACATTTAAATCGCGCCTTGAAATGATGAATTCCTTATTCGCCAATTCGTGCAGAGCACCTTATACTTCCTCAAGGGAGAGTTCATTCTCCCTCCAAATTCGGCACATAGCTCTGTAATAAGGTCAGATCTCTAGCTTTGTTCCAATTTCCGACTGTTAACTCTCATTTTCTGTATCAGTTTCGTGGAAACTTATCTGAGGTGCTATAGAGGCATCGTGCTGTCTGCCTCTTCCGTTGAGAACGGGTGCGGCTCCGTTGCTAAACGTATCTTCGTCGTATTTTTGTCGATTTTCGGCAGTCTTCACCGTGTTGGTATACTGCCAAAACGCGACAGGCACGTTCTAATAGCGAATTTTTCGCAGTCTGCTTGAGTCCCCCAACCGCCTGCGCTGCCTTTAGTAAACGGGCGATGACCGAGCCGGTAGAAGTTGAATACGGCCATACTATGTTGGGCATGCGGCGAAGTTTTGCGAGAGACGTCGGTTTGGACAGAAACGCTTGCCCTTTCTGATCGGTGCTTTTAGCTAGAAACGGCCGGATTATTTGATGTCTCTTTCACAGTTTTATATTACTCTGATACTGTAATAACAGTTGTTATGATATGAGGAACGTTCCGAAATGCTTTTCTCTGAGCGCAGAAGCTACAGGTACAGTTCGTTGGCAAACAAAGTTCTCCACAACATTACTGCTTCATTATGGGATGAAGCAAAAGGAAAAGGGGTTGTGAAAGGTTTTCGGGTTTTGCGTATTCCGTATACACAGTATACTTGCAACTTATTTAAAAGACTTCAGATTAGCGAAAAGATTTTGAATGGGATCAGATATGAGAATTCGCTGGCAAAATTAATGAAGCTGAGGGTTTTAATCTGTTTTTAGTCTAAACTAATTAACTCGTTAGTCCGCATTGGCGAAAAAAATCGTTTAATGTTTCAAACACTGCGTTTATTTGACATAAGTGGACAAGAAAAATTAGCCTTCAAATTCAGTAGTTGTAAGCCAAAGCAAGTCTAAAGGATTTAGTCAAAAACCACCAGTTCGAATTAGCCGCGACTTGTACACTGTTAGAGCTGAGAATGTGCAATAGCGAAAACCTAATCATTCATATTGCACAGTTCGATTTAAAATCTCAAGAACTTTAAAGGAACAAAATAAAGAAAGAAAAAGTTGGACATAAGAGTATTGCCGCCATGTTGGTGGCATTTTTCATTGAGTAATGCAAAGGATTTTCAATTCCCTACGTAGATATAAGAAACTAACGATGCGGCTGGTGAATTGAATATTTCTTTGATCAACGAGAATTGGCGATTCTTTAAGTAATGACTTAATTGAATTCTGCTTCTGTCTTCGTCTGTCAACGTCAGAGAGACGTGCTTCGTCAAAATCATTATGACTATCCAAGTCGTGGCTTTGAGTGCTTGGACGTTTTGCGTTGTTCGCAATGGCTTTAGAATGTTGCGCTAGCCGAACTTGACTAAGGCTGAACGCTT